TATATATATATATATATATATATCAGAAATTTCTTTAAAAACGTGATCCCTGGGTAATTCCATATTAGAACAGTGAGAAAACACGAGCACCAGGGAATATGATAAAATAATTTGGTTTAATATTAAAATTACTAAAATTACTAATAAAATCAATTAAAACGCCTAGCTTTCGTCAGCTATCTGCTGACGTCCTCAGGGCAAAGAAGTGTGGGGCGACATTGGAAAGGACCCAAGGGGAAGGGTGTGAAGGCGATATGGAAAGGAAAACGGAAGACGGATCTGAGCGCGCGAAAGGAGACCCTCCATTGACATCTAGCTCTAAAAAAGAAAAATTCCCTGATGTTAGCTGTGTGGATGAGAGACGTGGGAGGGAGCAAGCCGTTACCAAGGAACCGGCGTCAGGAACCTGCCTAGTCATGACCGGCCCAACAACGAGGTCAAGGAGCCGTGCGCACACGCTAGTCAAGCTACAAAAGTGACTCCCATGGACTGACATCTTGAGCCCTGAGGACGTCAGCAGATAGCTGACGAAAGCTAGGCGTTTTAAAATCCTTCTAGGAACAGAAGATCAAATGATAAAAAAGATATATCAATATTTATTAGAACAAGATTTGTTAGAGGAATAGGTAAAAGAAACAATGTTAATCTGGAGTAAAAATTTTGGTTACAGTATTGACCTAGATAATTGGCAATCATTATGGGATAGAAACAGGAGGTTAACGTTAGCCACCTCATATAAAGAAAATCTATACAAGATGTTTTATAGATGGCACCTTCCCCCTACAAGGCTAGCAAAAATAGATAAAAACACCTCACCGACATGCTGGAAATGTAGAAGGCTTCCAGGGACTTACTATCATATGTCGTGGGAATGTTCATTCTTATTCTTATTCTTATTCTATTCTATTCTATTCTATTCTATTCTATTCTATTCTATTCTATTCTATTCTAGTCCAGTCCAGTCCAGTCCAGTCCAGTCCAATTCTTATTCTTATTCTTATTCTTATTCTTATTCTTATTCTTATTCTTATTCTTATTCTTATTCTTATTCTTATTCTATTCCAGTCCAGTCCAGTCCATTCCATTCCATTCCATTCTAGTCTTATTCTTATTCTTATTCTTATTCTATTCTATTCTATTCTATTCTATTCTATTCTATTCTATTCTATTCCATTCCATTTCGGTCCAGTCCAGTCCAGTCCAGTCAATTCCATTCCAGTCTTATTCTTATTCTTATTCTTATTCTTATTCTTATTCTTATTCTTATTCTTATTCTTATTCTTATTCTATTCTATTCCATTCCATTTCGGTCCAGTCCAGTCCAGTCCAGTCAATTCCATTCCAGTCTTATTCTTATTCTTATTCCATTCCATTCTATGGAATGGAATGGAATGGAATCAGTGGTGGGATTCAGCCAGTTTGTACCACTTCAGCAGAACCGGTAGCTAATTTTTTATTGCCCAGGCCCAGAATGGACTTCCAGAAGCGGCATCCACACAGAGAACCGGTTGTTCGCATATTTGAATTCCACCACTGAATGGAATAGAAATAGAATGGAACAAAAAAGAACAGAACAGAACAGTACAATAGAGTTGGAAGGGACCTTTGAGGTCTTCTAGTCCAACCCCCTACTCAGGCAGGAAACCTTGTACCATTTCAGACAAATGGATGTCCAATCTCTTCTTAAAAACTTCCAGTGTTGGAATGGAACAGAACAGAATAGAATACAGAATAATGGGAAAGAACGGCATGGGATGGCATGGGATGGGATGGAATGGAATGGGATGGCATGTGATGGGAGGGAAGGGAAGGGAAGGGAAGAGGAGAAGGAGAAGAGAAGGAGAAGAGAAGGAGAAGGAGAAGAGAAGGAGAAGAGAGGAGAAGGAGAAGGAGAAGGAGAAGGAGAAGAGAAGAGAAGAGAAGAGAAGAGAAGGAGAAGAGAAGAGAAGAGAAGAGAAGAGAAGAGAAGAGAAGAGAAGAGAAGAGAAGAGAATTCTTTATTGACCAAGTGTGATGGGACACACAAGGAATTTGTCTCCACTGCATCATCTCTCAGTGCACATGCAAGCAACAAGCGATAAATCATGATCGTAATCATAAAATACAATCATCATTTATCCTTTAAAGGACAGTAATTCAGTGAGTTTTACCCCATTTTGTGACCTTTCTTGCCACAGTGGTTAGGAACGGTTGCTGGAATTGGGTATGTCTAGTTTAACGAAGAGAAGGACGAGGGGGGACATGATAGCAGCCTTCCAGTATCTCAGGGGCTGCCCCAAAGAAGAGGGAGTCAAGCTATTCTCCAAGGCGCCTGACAGCAGGACGAGAAGCAACGGGTGGAAACTGATCAAGGAGAGAAGCAACTTAGAACTAAGGAGAAACTTCCTGACAGTTAGAACAATTAACCAATGGAACAACCTGCCTCCAGAAGCGGTGAATGCTCCAACACTGGAAGTTTTTAAGAAGAGACTGGACAGCCGTTTGTCTGAAATGGTATAGGGTTCCTGCCTGAGCAGGCGGTTGGACTTGATGACCTCCAAGGTCCCTTCCAACTTTATTATTATTATTATTATTATTATTATTATTATTAGTAGTAGTAGTAGTAGTAGTAGTAGTAGTAGTAGTAGTAACGTGGTTGTTAAGTGAATCTGGCTTCCCCATGGACGTTGCTTGTCAGAAGGTTCCAAAAGGAAACACTGCAACCGTCCTAAGTACATGCCAGTTGCCAAGCATCTGAATTTCAATCAGATCAGCTCGGGGATGCTGCAGCCTCTGTGAAAAGTGCTCATCAGTCGCATTTTTCAGGCCCGTTGTAACCTCAAACGGTCACTAAATGAATGGATGTAAGTCAAGGACTGCTTGTATGAATCTCCCGTCATCTCCTTGACAGCCTCTTTCTCCACCCATTATGCAGCTAGAGGCTCTGCTGCCTCTTATCAGCTCATTCCCTAAGCAGCATCTCTTCATCCCCGTCTCCCAAGGTCTTTCTCCCATGCCATTATACTTCTTCCCTCTAGGGCAGTGGTGGCGAACCTATGGCACGCGTGCCAAAGGCAGCACTCAGAGCCTTCTCTGTGGGCACGCGTGCCATGCCCTGGAAATGGCAACCGTCCCACTTCAACCAGCTGCCCGCTAACTCATCAAGGTCCCACGTGGCCAGATGCATCCCGGCACAGCTGGTTTCCCTCCCTCCCCCATCCCATCCCTCCTGGCCTCACATGCTCTCCTTTTCCCGGGCACGACCCACTGCATCGCCTCCTCAGCTGTCGGCCAGCTGTCCAGCTCAAAGGGGGCTTCTCTGAACTGCTGGTGGAGGGCTGTGGAGCCCCAGAGTGTGCCAGTCGAGGGGCTGGCAGGCTGTGGCTGCTGACGTGTCCTCCTAGACAGCCCCATGTCAGCCCCCATGCAGTCACTGGCCTCTGTGTGCGGGGACCGATGGTGTCAGGCAGCAGCCGCCCCTGCCCCTGCCTCACCTTGCCCTGTGACAATGGCATCCCCGCCCTGCCTCACCTTGCCTCGCCTCACCCTGCAGGATGAGCCTCCTGCCCACTGCCCCACCTGCCAGAGACCCCCTGGATCTCCCCCAACCCTGCCCGGTCCCCACAGGCATCTCTCCCCACGAGCAACATCGAGATGACCACGCCCACCTTGGCTACACCCACCCAGTCTGCCATGACCACCACAGCCACGCCCACCCAGTGGGCCACACCCACCTGGCACCCGGTGATAAATAAGTGGGTTTGGGGTTGCAGTTTGGGCACTCGGTCCCTAAAAGGTTTGCCATCGCTGCTCTAGGGGGACACGTACTGAGATCGGGAAATAATCTTTCATGTATCGCCAGATGACCAAATTCCGCATCCGGTGGGAGCGCCGCCCAGTTTTGCTCGGGGTGTCCCAGTCGAACGCCCACCAGACAGCATAGAGGGCGCTGATCAGCCAGAAGCGTGTGAAGAGGAGGAGGATGAAGACGGCAATGGAGCACTGACCTGGAGGAAGAAAAGGGAGAATTGTTAGGGGTCTTTCTCGTTAACACGTTTGGTTCCCTAATCGGGAATAACAGAATAACAAAGCTGGAAGGGACCTTGGAGCTCTTCTAGTCCAGCCCCCTGCTCAAGCAGGAAACCCTATTCCAATGGTGGCGAACCTACGGTACGGGTGCCAGAGGCAGCACTCAGAGCCCTCTCTGTGGGCACGCGCGCTGTCGCCCCAGTCCTAGGCCTTCAGCTGGGTTTTATGAAACCTTTTCACTTTAGGCTTCCGCCACTTTGTGCAAAAAAAAAAAAAAAAAGGTTCAATTAGTCAATTTCAACTTCTTGCGGGGAAAAAAAAGATCTTGCAAAGTTGGAATTGATTGATTGAACTTTTTAGTCCCACCCAATCTACCACGCCCAGCCACGCCCAGCCAATGGGCCACACCCACCCAGCACTCGACGATGCATAAGTGGGTTTTGGGTTGCAGTTTGGGCACTCGGTCTCTAAAAGGTTCCCTATCACTGCCCTATTCCATTTCGGACAAGTGACTGTCCAGTCCAGGGGTAGTCAACCTTGGCTCTTTTACGACTCGTGGACTTCAACTCCCAGAATTCCTGAGCCAGCCATGGTTGCCTATGCATGGGTTATTAGATGAAGAGACCCAAACTTATTGCAAGTCTCACACTGCAGTGAACAAGGACATGCATTCAATTTCACATCTATTAAGATTGTTGGCCAAGCAGGGACTGTTGTATCTTCGGTTCTTTAGGCATTGAACGAGGCAGAGTGTTGAAACAGCAAACAAGTTTATTAACTCAGAACAGAAGCAGCTCTAAAGGCTGCTGCACAGCTATTTATACTGTTAGCCTCTAGGTCAGGGGTAGTCAACCTTTTTATACCTACCGCCCACTTTTGTATCTCTGTTAGTAGTAAAATTTTCTAACCGCCCACCGGTTCCACAGTAATGGTGATTTATAAAGTAGGGAAGTAACTTTACTTTATAAAATTTATAAAGCAGAGTTACAGCAAGTTAAAGCATATAATAATAATTACTTACCAAATACTTTATGTCG